GATGTCTATAAATAGAATTTTGTCACGTGGAGAGAATATGGCTCAACATTTTCTTTATCGAGAGGACTCATAAAAAGATCATAAAATGAGTAGCTTAAAGAAAAACTCATTAGTTAAAGGAGCCAAACTCAGCAGCAGTACGATTACAAATCTTTTTTGAGAGTAACATTTCTTTTGAAGACCCTCTCAAGAACCATGTTTTTCGTAGTCAAAACCAAATAGTGGCCAACTGGCCGATCCGCACTCAGGTCACTAAATAGCCGCATGAGGCTCGCGAGCCGCGATTTGCCGCCCACTGTCTTAACATGTCAGAAAATAACTTCATAAACTTACATTATTTTTTTTTAATACTGCCTAATAATTTTTTTATTGCATATTATTTAAAATATATTTTTTACAAAATAACAAAAATGAAAATAACTGGACTTTGTCCCCGAACAATTTTTTTTTTATATTAAAAAAAAAAATAATTGAATATTTGATAAAATTGTGAAAGAAAATGGCATCACATGTGAAGTTTCTGCTCTCTTAATTTCAGATTGAGAAATATCTTGGTAAGCAAAGGAGAGACCAGCGCTCAACCAAAATTCTCTATCACGAGAAGCGCCTTCATGGTTCTGTGCAGAAAAGTATAGACTTATATAATATATTTATTTCAGTACCTAAGTACATTTTATGTATTTCATTATAAAACTTGTTAAAACCTTTATGTTTTAAATGTATTATATTCATACATATCTCAGCAAATTAAACCTAGACCTAAATCTGAGAAATTGAATTCATGAAAGATTGACCAATCAAGTCGTAATCCAAATATAAAATCTCTTGACGCAATTCTAGGACATGACAACAGTAGTAAGGTGGAGAGGGGGCAAAACGATTCAGAGTTGAAACACTTGATTTCTGGCTATGGCAAGACTATAAAACCACGGTGGTGATAGATTAGTCTTTGGTGTGTCTTAGACCACGGCTTGGCAACATTGTTTTGTAATCAAGCTTAAATTTATTAAGAAAATATTCAGGCAGCCACAGGAAAGGGGTATATTAAGGTAGCCACAGGAGGGGCAGTATATTCAGGTAGCCACTGGAGGGGCGGTGTATTCAGGTAGCCACTGGAGGGGCGGTATATTCAGGTAGCCACAGGACGGGTGGTATATTCAGGTAGCCACAGGAGGGGCGGTATATTCAGGTAGCCACAGGACGGGTGGTATATTCAGGTAGCCACAGGAGGGGCGGTATATTCAGGTAGCCACAAGAGGGACGTTATATTCAGGTAGCCACAGGAGGGGCGGAATATTAAGGTAGCCACAGGAGGGGTGGATTTACTAATGAAGAGATCCGCAGGTGGCCGATGGCTTTCAGCACGGGGGCTGGTGGTTTAGATAATTGTCACGCAGACTAAAATAATCTCTTTAATATATTTTTTATTCATGATGTTCACTATTAATCTAACCATGTTTAATCTACATTTAAAATTAGAAATATTTTTTTTAAAGTGCTTTTTTAACATTAAATAGTAAGCATATTTAAAATATTTAAATTTTGTAACATTAAAAAGTATATATATATATATATATATATATATATATTAATCCTTCAAAGTATTAACTTTGCTTTTGTTCATGGCTGGCTGGCTGGCAAAATCTTCGGACGGTTAAATTACCAACTTCCCGTCCACCTATCGAGCTGAAACTTAGCACATAGACTCGTTTACAATGACGACTAATTCTGTCAAAGTTCAGCCCCATCCTCCAACCCCCAAAATCAAGATTTCCTGGTTTTCATGGGGAAGTTGAAGGAAATGTTGATGCCACTGATTTCACCATATAAAATTTCCGATCACTGCCCTTAATGAGATTCTTAAAGTTTTTTTTTTNNNTATATATATATATATATATATATATATATATATTACATGATTCAATATGTGTACCATTAAAAAGACCTAAACAAATAAATGAATTAAAAGTTTTTAAGATAATGCATAAAATCATTTTGTGGTCGGGCGTTTATATCATAATAATCATGTTCAATTTTTAGGGGACTAAATATTCGTAAAGATTAAAAGTATAAATAGTTTTAGTTTAAATTTTTTGTACCTTTAAAAGTTTATTTTTAGAATGTAAGTTGGTACCTGAAGGATTTGTAGACATATAAGGACTGAATAGCTCTAACATTTCAAATTAATAAAATTAAAAGAATGCGAACAAGCCCTTAAAATACTTTTCTTCTTACAATCCCTTTATATGCGTACTATGAATAAAAAGAACAATAATAAGATAAGTGATTGGACGCCAAAGATTAAAGAACGATATCAAGTTTCAACAACTTATAAAAATTAATGTTTTTTGCGGCTTAAATCGGGGTTTGTCGTCCGTTTCCGAGGAACAGGAAAAACTAACTTTCTTAAAACATATCGTGCCCGTTAAAACACAAGAGCGGGTGTGTGACAAAATTCCCATACTCAAAATATCAACCGATTGCTTGAGAGTTGGGGCAGAAAATTTGAAAGGATTTTTTGTCATCGGCAAAGTGCATTCCCCCCCCCCCCAAATTTTTTTTTTTTTTTTTTTTTGAAAAATTCAGCTTGATAGCATGACGGGAAATGAGTCATGAAGACATACAAAAATTTTGCCAGAAAGAAACACTGGAACAGGCGAAGTTTATATGAAGGATTTTAAAAGTGGGGGGGGGGGATCTAAACTTAAAAAGAGAACTACTATTTATCGAGCTTGTTGGAAGCTATGCAAAGTCCTAGTGGAACCACGAACCTAGATGATGAAATGGATAAATATTATATTTTTCTATTGATGTCAACCCATAAATGTCGATTTAAATGAAGTCTTATCGTGTCAATGCCATTTTTTTAAATAAAAAAAAATAAATAAAAAAATAATTATAATAATAACAATTTGCAAGAGACACAACCTTAACGAGATTTTTGTCTTTCCAAATGTGTGCTTGCGTCCCATTGAATGGGTTCTAATGCCATTATTTAGCATAATCCTTCAGCACAACTTAAAACTGAGGGCTCTCACAAGTCGCGCTTCCTTACATTTGTTTTAAAGTTTTGTCTATAAGTCAAATTTGAAGCGTCAGAGCTAGACACACTTAAAAACGTTTTGTGTGTGTCGCAAACCAAGATGGCCGGATCTTCGATGAACCAATTTAAAAGAAACAACATTTAAATCGATTTTTCATAAAATAAATGTGAAGTTGAGAAGGAAAAAAAAACCCAAACTATTTTGCCAAGTGGCAGAGTTGAAATAAACGAATGGTATATTAGAGCTTATTCTTTGAATTACAGTGTGTCTGTGAAATCTAAGACCACCAAGTTGTGAAGGTGTATGAATACATTAAGAACTCACTGATTCGCACCGGGTCAAAATAAGATTGTTCCCGTCGCACATAATGGACTGAAACTAAAGCTAAAGAGATAACTGTTGACACTCGGTACATGTTTTCACTCGATTAACAGATGTTGGTTTAGAAATCTGAGTTTCAATTAGCTGAAACTTTAAAGAATGTTTATCATGAAAACAGCCGTCATTTAAAAAAAAATTGTGCTAGATCTAACATCATTTTAAATCTGTACCAATGAACTGGTTGAGGAGACCTCACCTTATGACGAAAAATTGGCCAATACTGCGTTTAACGCTATGGAGACAGTCTACATATACATGCATAGATTTTCATTTCTCACACCAACGCCTAGACCAGTAGTCGGCAAATCGCGGCACTTTAGCGACCTGAGTGCGGCTCAGCCAGTCGATCGGTTTTGACTCCAAAAAACATGGTTCTTGATAGGGTCTTAAAAAGAAATTTGGCTCTCCAAAATTTATTTTTATAATCCTGCTGCGTATTTTTGCCTCTTTTGACTACTGAGTTTGTCGACCACTGCCCTAGTGACTAGTAATGTGTTTAACAAATCTGATATCAAATGATCTAATACCTGAACTAGCGAACATAACACTCAATGTTTACTCTTATGAAGCTCGAGGACCAGGGTTTGCTTGACAGAATGTCTGGCATCATACAGCCACTGATAGTGAACGGAACGACTAAATGCATTTGTACAATTTAGTTAATGTCAGCTCTTAAGTATTGCGTGATAAAAACAAAAATTTATGGCTGTGAGCTTTCATGGGCAAACATGAATCGTGTTTGCAGATGACTTGATTGAGGTAAAATGAAAACAGTTATGATAGATCGATACGTCCCCATGTTCATTGTGTGCTGGAATATTTTATGGAGTGTTGAAGTGATTCCTTTTCAGTCTGAACATGTATACAAAATATGCATGCTTTAAACAAATCTTGAAGATAGAAGGACACAATTTTCAATTATTTCTATCCCTTCATTTGGATCGAAATGATGAAAAATTATACATCATTTTAGCCTTATATTCTTCTGGAAATTTAAAATATTTGAATTGTTCCGGACAATTTAAATTTCGATGTCAATGATGGGTTATTTAATTGGAGTCAAGGCAGGTTAAATATTAGTTACTGTTATAATAAAATAGACAATCTTAATATAAGCTATTATATTTAATATGTTTAAATATGTTATATTTTAAAGTTATCGTTTTATTGGCGTAGTTAATCATTTTATTCATCAAGTGCTGCTTTAAAAATGTTTAACTAATGAATTTGAAATGTATTAGGAAATAACTAGTTAACAGCAAAGCCACATGTGAGGCATTTAAAGTATGTCATGAGCTATTCAGTGAGGTTGTTGCAATAAGGGGAAACTATTTTCATATATTTCATCGTTCGTTTTAAAACAACGAATTCTCCAGTTGTGCAATCAAAAAGACAAATTGTAACTTGAAGTCGAAGTCACAAGCAATATAAGGTATCAACATTCGAAGAAAATAACAAGTTGTAAATAAAGATGACATCATCAAAATGAACTACTCCAAGTGCAGTCTCCTTGATATTTCCTTACTGCCGTTCATTGAAGACATCTTCCCTCAACCCAAGGCCGTCATCGCTGCTGCCATTATTCTCTCTGCTGTTGCTTTATTCACGTTATCGTCGAATCTTATTTTCATCGTCATCATGCTTTGTACGAACAGAACGAGAAATGACAGTCGTAACAAAAGCAATGATAACACCATAACCATGATGCTAATGATGTCAATGGCGATATCTGATATCACCTGCAGTATATCTGTGATGCCGTTAAGTATCGTTGAGGTCATCGAAAATGGAAAATGGAATTTAGGAGAAACGTGGTGCACTGCACGACTAACGATCAACAATTTCCTCTGTTCCGTCTCTATATTTCACGTCAACTGCATGGCATTGGACATGTACATGGCAGTGTGTAAGCCACTGTTCTATAGACTGTTAACAAATAGAACTGGATATATCATGGTCATGGTCTCCTGGCTTGTACCATCTGCCTTGGTCGTGTTGCCTCGTCTTATTGGTTTGGATAAATTAGGGGCGAAAGAAAGTGTAGAATGTGTTGGGGACAAATGTACAAGTATTTATACGCAGTCAATATTTTTTATTGTCTTAACTGTGGTCGTCCCTTTGCCATTTTTAACTTCGTATGTCTTTTATTTCTTTATACTTCGAGAAGTTTCACGTTTCCACAAGCGGAAGCCAAAATATTCAAATAAACCCAGTGCTGGACGACATGAAGACATTTGTGAGAAGTCAAATAGCACAGATTGTTCAAAAGATGACACTTTGGCTAGTACCATATCAGCTAAGCACACGTTTCTCGTTGATTCCCCCCAAGCAGAACACTTGGAATCTGTTGCTTCCAATGGTATTGCTTTAAAATCTGGCATTGTTTCATTTGATTTCAATAACGATGTTCAAATTGCGAATCGCAGTGAATTGACCATTTCGACAATGCTGGATACGAGCGTCGCGTCCAGAAACATGGAGGACGAAAGGGAGACCTGCAGTTTGGGAACGTCCAACGACCGTAACGTCAAAGGTTTCACAGAATTCGATACAACTGAATCGAACAGCTCCACTCATGCGTTTAAACGCTACACGCCCTCCGCACCCCAAAAGGATGAGAACGCCAACTTGAGCTTGACACGGAGAGTTAAAACTGATACCTCTACTGAGACGGCTCAGGGTCAAGATGACACCTCGACTGTGGCCGCTCAGGGTCAAGATGACACCTCTACTGTGACCGCTCAGGGTCAAGATGACACCAAATTAGTTACAAACCAACCGGCACTGTTAACATCTGAAACCACCGTGTCCTCGAACCAATCGATGACGTCACGTTCCAACATGGCGACAAAGGCGTATCGCACTGTCGGGGGTCTTGTCTTTTGCTTCACGGTCTGCTGGTTTCCGTCCTGGATCTTTCTCAGCGTGTACCTGCAGTTTGAGAGCACGATTCCCCAGTGGGCAGTCTTTTTGATCACGTGGTTAGGGTACAGCAACGCCGCCTTCAATCCTATACTGTACCTCGGCAACAGATCTGTCAGAAATGGTGTCAAGGCTTTTTGTGGAAAACGTCAATAAAATGTCTCAACTTTTTCTGGTAACCCTAAATGTAAGCTTTGTATTCATTTCCTGATCATTTTTATATTTTCGTGTGTGTAAATTCAAATCAATGTCGATTAAACTGAGAGTACAAAAATGCTTCAAGAAAGTGGAGAATGCTAGTTTTTGTTGTTGTTTTTTTTAACTCCCATTACTGGATGCGCTCTTTTTGATTACGTCAAACATTTAAAAGACTTTGTTTGTATTTGTTTTGTGCCGTTATAGTTTAAGTTTTAATTGCAGTGATAAAATTGTTGTTGTTTTTTCCTTCACGGTCACTGTAGACAAGAAGAAAGTTTTTATGATTCTAAAATTAGAATGATTTTTTCTAACTAACCCACAGAACGTTTCGGTTTGGTATTTGGTTTCGAGATTTCAACTAGTTATAAAGATATACATTTAATTTATTATCTAAAAATTTCATATTTAGTTAGCGTGGGAAAAAACCCTATCTCTTAAGCACTTGTAGTTGATTTATCCTAAAAGAAAGTATACAATACCTTCTTAAAAAATGTCACTTAGAGATGAGAAAAAATAACTGTGTTTATTCGTCCAGTTATTTTCGTCTCTCAGCTGGTAGTTTCATATAATCATGGTTGTTTCATGTAGGCCTTGATTGTATTAATTTTCTTTATACAATGCGAATCTAAAGTTTACTCACCAACATTTAAATATGTTTTTCCTGCTTGACATCTTCTATGATCAATTAAAAATTCTCGGATTTCAAAATCGCCAAGTGAAAAACTTGTATGAATTATCCTCATATTTATTGTTGGTTACATTCAAACCTTGGTGAGTTTTAAAGAAATTTAAATAAACTAGTTATAGCCCTCCAAACATAGGCGACGGCTATGCGTGAACTTCCCATCTACTAAAGTTACTTGACAAAACATGAACTCAAGTATCGCACATTCATGAATTTCAATTTTTGCTCCCCCCCCCCCCCTCCCCTTAGACGTCCCTCCCCAATTTTTTTTTTTTACCCCCNTTCCGTGAGACGTCACTGCACAATTTTTATTTTTCACGCCCATGAACTATATTAAATATTCTGATGTCCCAAACACTTTTAAATTGATTCTTTTTTTTTTTTTTTTTTACACCATACTTGAATTGAGACGATTTGATTTATCGAAAAATATTACGCATCAAATGAAGTTGCGTTATTATTAGCGTAGTTATCGGGAATTATATTTTGCGCGATAGTAAACTCATTATCTATATATATATATATAGCCTGCGTAGTGGTGTTGCTTGACCTTTGCTGGCGAATAATATATATAGATTATGACATGCGAACGAACATGATACAGGTATTGTCTTAATCTGTAAATCGATATTTATTCATCTTAAGAAATCACAAATCATTGCTCCGTGACGTCTGGGAAGTCTTTTGGGGCTTTGTTAAGATCAATTTTACCAAGGGATCTTTAGAAGACCAATTACTGAACTCTATACATTATAGTTTTGCTCTTTTAAAACGAATGCTTTTAAATAGGACTTTATTACAATGGAAATATCAGGACACGACATCTATACACATTCTAGAAATCTATTACACGGGAAATATTTTGATCATGTCGCGTATAGACATTCTTGTGTCAATGTGTCAAAAATGTAGCTGATCATTTAAGAGTAAGTCATGACGTTAAAAAAAAAAGAAGTAAACATGCCATACAGTTGGTTTCCATGGAAACTCGAGACACTCGTTTTAAAAAAAAAAAAACAATTACAGCTTTCGAAATACAAATCACAAGTCGATCTAATTTGTGTACACAAATTTCATGTTGAAAACAGGATCATCATTTCAGGTTCTTTCAGGGGGGGGGGGAGCAAACAAAAACTTGATTGGGGGGTTCCCATCGCGCCCTACCCAAAAGACTTCTCTGGTTGTCAAACATTCTGAGGTCAGTTATTTTCTACCCAATACAAAGAAAAAGTTCCAGCTGACAGATACTTTTATTTGCTTGACATCGTCTTCACCGTCGCCAAGAATCTTTATCAATCTGGAGGGGAAAACATATAGAAAGACTCGTTACTTAACATTGACAAAGTTACTTTTGACACGATGTAATCGTCTGAAACGGGTGTTTCCAAGATCTGCGCAGCGTGGACCTGGGGGCTGGGGGTTCATGTCGTCTGATACAGTGGTTGCCAAGGTTTGCTGCAGCATGGACTTTAGGGCTAATGTCGTCTGATACATTGGTTGCCAAGGTTTGCTGCAGCATGGACTTTAGGGCTAATGTCGTCTGATACAGTGGTTGCCAAGGTTTGCAGCAGCATGGACTTTAGGGCTAATGTCGTCTGATACATTGGTTGCCAAGGTTTGCTTATCATGTACCTAGAGGTTTATTTCTTCCTAGCAGAGTCCCTGCAAAACGTTATTTTTTTTAAAAACCTTGTCCCACTCAATGTAATTCATTGAGGCAAGTGATACATTTCATAGAAACCTCTAGAGACGATAAGCAGGATGGCGTTATAATTGTTTCTTATATACGTGTCTCATTAGCGTATACCCAGTCTTTAAATTGAGGAAAGAATTATTCAAAATCTTGCAGTGTATATGTTAGAATTTGACAAGGGACGCCTAGAAACAATCTAGACTTCTATAGGGCAATGGGAATCGAAAAGTTGTTGGGACCCCTGGCGTAACCCCCAATAAGTTTGATATACTAAGTGTTTTTTTGTGTGCTTAAATTAAAAAAAAATATATATCTTCTACAAATACAGCATTTATTTTAAATTGCTATGCAATGCATTTCAGAGTTCTTTGTATGATCCAGGCCACACGATATTCTAAGTCCACTCAGTCTTAAAATGACTTCCTCGTGCTATCTTTAGTCTTAAGATATGTTGTTTGTAGGTTACCATTTACTTTTTCGATTGGTGTGATATATTGTCAAATGGAGTTGACACAGCTGTCGTCATAATATTTATCCCACTGTCAGTCAATAAAATCTGTCAAAGCTACATTTGTAAAAAAATAATAATAGTTGCCAACGCGCCGGGGAGTCTCACCTATATTGAATCTGTTCCATGATGTCACCTTCTGGATTTTCCTGGTAATACATGTTTATGTAATGGAAGGTTCGAATGTAATCCAAATAGTGCTCCAAGGTCATCTCTACCCGCTTTTCTATGTCTTTACTTCTGTGAATCAAAAAGTAGTGAAACAGTTTTATTATTATTATTAACATTGTAAGGTGATTTTATATAGCGCAGTGGGGAGCATTATGGTACATGATAGATTGGGGAGCACACTGGTAGATGATAGATTGGGGAGCACACTGGTAGATGATAGATTGGGGAGCACACTGGTAGATGATAGATTGGGTACCAGTCTGGTACATGATAGTTTAAGTACCATTCTGGTATATGAAATATTGGGAAGCACGCTGGAAGATGATAGATGGGGAGCATGCTGGTAAATGATAGATTGGGGAGCACACTGGTAGATGATAGATGGGGAGCATGCTGGTATATGAAAGATTTTGGAGCATGCTGGTACATGATAGATTGGGGAACAAATGTCATTTTATATCTATCTGAAACAGGGTGGGATGTATATGCCAATTTTAAAAAAAAAATTTTGGGTACTGCAGCATAAAGCTTTCTGACTAGTGTGAAAAGGAAGAGAAGAGGGGAGGAAAACGAAATGTTAGCGAAGTTCAAAATTCCACTTCAGCATGATGGTTATATGCTCAGTTGCATTGGCATCAACATTTTTATGTTTAAAAATACAAAATAGTATAGATCGAAACATAATGTTGGTATGATCCTGTGGAAGATAAAACAATGTGCCATCTTTCCACCACAAGTTTAGTGAACAGATAATAATGCCGTCGTTGACGTACGATATAGTTGTCCCATGGCACATTTTGAAAAATCTATTTCTTTTAATTTTAGTTTTAAAAAAAAAACCCGTTTAAAATTGAATTACCTTAAGAGATCTCTGAATGGAAACTCAATGGTCTTGTATCTGTCTTTGATCAGCTTTATTCGGTCGACTACGAGGTACTTCCGTAAATGGTTAAATCTGATCTATAAAGTACCGAAAAGTAAATTTCTTTTTAATATATCATTTTCCCATTTTTTACAAGCGATAAATTTACCTATCTTATTATTCGTACACGTATCAGTGATGTAGTAGTAGATTTAAGAACAGCGGGGCATCATCCTGATGCATCACGGGACGACTCAATGGTGTTCTAATTTATATTTTTTCTGACAGATTTTTTAAAGGATTTTGTGGAAGTTATCAGGTGTAGGTCGTAAGTAGCTTTACAAAAATTGAGTTTGAAAAATACAATTCACGCGCCACTATTTCAGGATAGATTCATATGAAGTAGTAATCCCGGTTTTAAAATATTATTTAATTTTTTTTTAAACAGCATTTGAATTTAAAAGATAATCTTGCAGTCATTCCTAACCACCAAAAATTATCATGAATGTATCGGCACTTTGGTTTTCTGTCATTCAGCCAAAACAATTATATTTCTTTTGACTAGCGGTCAAAATGGTATAAATTTTATAAGTGTAATTTTAAATGGAGACACTTGATCTTAAATTATGTCCCTTACCTTTGTCATATATTTTTGCGCATCCTCATTGTCTAGAGACTCAAGGTAGTAGCCAAATGCAGCGAATGTCCCTCCAGGTTTTAGAATTCGATTAGCTTCTTTAAAGAATCTGTTGCGATAAAAACAAATTTTCCTTGTAGGGAGATCATGACTAAAGGAAATGTACGTTTTTAGGATAATTGGCCGATCAACAGCTAGATAAATGAAGGACGGCGTTCAGGCTGTGTGATCTACAGCTGATGAAATCCGTAGCACTTTAGTAACAACAGCGATATGGTCTATATGGATATGGATGTGGATTTAATATAGTTTCAGGGATACATGTTAATCGCCCACCAAGACCAATACAAGCGACAAAACAAAAACACAAACAAAAACTCCCCGAGCACCCCGGGTGGAGGGGACTCGTAAGCCTTGAACGGCAACTCATCTAAAAGAAGGCAAAATCTGAACTCAAAACCAGGAGCCAGAATGCTAAAATAAATTGATCGTGGGCCCTCAAATATAGGAAGGGGGAAAAAAATAATTGATCACATATAATATCAGCAATTGTATGTATATAATAATTTATTACTCCTGAATTGATCTATTCAAATGTACAGACGTTGGTCTATTCAAATGTACAGACATTGGTATATTCAAATGTACAGACATTGATATATTTAAAGGTACAGACATTGATCTATTCAAATGTACAGACATTGATCTATTCAAATGTACAGACAGTGATCTATTCAAATGTACATACATTGATCTATTCAAAGGTACAGACATCTGATCTATTCAAATGTACAAATTTGATCTATTGAAAAATGTAACGACATTGATCTATTCAAATGTACAGACATTGATCTATTCAAAGGTACAGACATCTGATCTATTCAAATGTACAAATTTGATCTATTGAAAAATGTAACGACATTGATCTATTCAAATGTACAAATTTGATCTATTGAAAAATGTAACGACATTGATCTATTCAAATGTACAAATTTGATCTATTGAAAAATGTAACGACATTGATCCCTACTAGTTTAAAAATCCAGACATCTTCACATTTAAACAAATTCATAAACCCATAAACAGCACAGTTTCTCGTGTAAATACTTTCTATATAAATGGTTGTTTCCACTTATGTCATGGCAAGAGATGTTTTATTAACCATTTGATTGTAGCAACTGATTTATTGATAGGGGGATACTTTTTTTTATTTTTACCCAACTTGTTGCTTGTAAAAACCTAATAGACTACAGGTAAAGTTTAACCCAAAGACGCCACAACTACAAAGAACATAGCAACAGCTGCGCAAGTTATCTGCACACCAAAGCACGCACCCATTAAACAATTCATATTTCATTCACGTTAACCCATGAAAAACAGAAAAGTCTGATTTTTTTTTTTTTTTTGGGTTGGGTTGGTAAGTTGTGGTGGGGCTGAAAATTTAATAGAGGGCGTTGTCATTAGCGACGATTCTATGCGCCGAATTTCATTTCGATAGGATGACGGGAAGTGGGTCAGTTAGCCGTGCGAAGATACTGTCTTCACGCAGCCACACGCGAACAAAAGAGAAGTTAATATAAAGGATTAATTAAATTTAAAAAAGCAAAAAAACATCTAAATATAACGTGCGTATAGGAGGGTAAGCCTAGTGTCAAACACATTACACCATCTCGACGCCATCAACCGATGATTCATTTTCAAGACCCACCTCTCGCAGTCCACCCAGTGTATGCTCGATCCTATGGTAACCAAATCGGCTGTGCCGTTTCCCAGCATGGGGATGTCCTCTGCGGGCGCCACACAGCCTACCAGGTTTGGTGTACGTTTTGGCATGTTTGCAAGCTGTTCTTCACTGATGTCAACACCTACAACCTGCAGGGTAAAAAATTGTCTCTACACACGTTGATACATTATCTGTGTAATTAATATAGTTTCCTTGTTACATTATAAAATTTCGAATCATGACTGCTTTCTTTGGATTTATTTAAAAAAAGAAAAAAGAATTGCCCTTTCCCTCAAGAGATCCGCACTCGATTATGGGAAAATATAATTCCGTAAACATGAAAGACTATAAATCTAAAACCAATGACAAATGTAAGTCTTATTCATTGCAAATATATGTCTAAAATTACGTTAACTTAAAAAAAAAATCAATGTCTAAAAGCATTGTAAAACATAAGTCAGAAATCATGGGAAATTATAATTCTAAAAAATCATTGTAAATTATAATTCTAAAATCATGGGAAATAAAATTCTAAAATCATGGGAAATTATAATTCTAAAATCATGGGAAATTATAGTTCTAAAATCATGGGAAATTATAATTCTAAAATTATGGGAAATTATAGTTCTAAAATCATGGGAAATTATTATTCAAATTATAATTCTAAAATCGTGGGAAATTATAGTTCTAAAATCATGGGAAATTATAATTCAAATTAAAATTCTAAAAATCATGGGAAATTATAGTTCTAAAATCATGTGAAATTGTAGTTCTAAAATCATGTGAAATTATACTTCAAAGTATAATTCTAAAAATCATGTGAAATTATAATTCTAAAATCATGTGAAATTATACATCTAAAATCATGTGAAAATATAATTCAAATTATAATTCTAAAAATCATGTGAAATTATAGTTCTAAAATCATGTGAAATTATAGTTCTAAAATCATGGGAAATTATAGTTCTAAAATCATGGGAAATTATAGTTCTAAAATCATGGGCAATTATAGTTCTAAAATCATGGGAAATTATAGTTCTAAAATCATGTGAAATTGTAGTTCTAAAATCATGTGAAATTATACTTCAAAGTATAATTCTAAAAATCATGTGAAATTATAATTCTAAAATCATGTGAAATTATACATCTAAAATCATGTGAAAATATAATTCAAATTATAATTCTAAAAATCATGTGAAATTATAGTTCTAAAATCATGTGAATTTATAGTTCTAAAATCATGGGAAATTATAGTTCTAAAATCATGGGAAATTATAGTTCTAAAATCATGGGCAATTATAGTTCTAAAATCATGGGAAATTATAGTTCTAAAATCAATGAAAATTATAGTTCTAAAATCATGGGAAATTATAGTTCTAAAATCATGGGAAGTTATAGTTCTAAAATCATGGGAAATTCTACATCTAAATTCGTTTCTCGTGGTTTTACTTTTGAAAAATGCTCGGTCAACGGAATCGTGCTCTGTCCCGACCCACAGCAGACATCCACAGCCAGCTGACAGCCGGAAGGTTTGTTGTCTCCGTGGTAATCTAGGATCCCTTTAAACACTCGCTGGGGATAAGATGGTCTATGCGAGGCGTAAACCTTCGAGAAGCTGTCTCCCTTGTGCAGTCTGTGGATAGCTGTCGCCTCTTCCGACTGCATTGTGAACGGCGAGCTAGAAAATATAGTCAAACGTTTAAAGATTTGCTTAAGCAATGTATATGCGTGTGCGTTATGTTTTTACATTGCAATGAAGCTTGGTGCTTGTGAGATAGGTAATAGGAGGACATGTTACATCTTGACCCCTAGGAGGCAATGTTACATCTTTACCCCTAGGTGGCAATGGGACACCTTTATCACTGGGAGACAATGTTACATCTTTACCGCTGGGTTGAAATGCGGCATCTTGACCCCTAGAAGACAATGTTACATCCTTACCCCTAGGAGGCAATGTTACATCCTAAACCCCAGGAGGAAATTATACATCTTTACCGCTGGGTTGCAATGCTGCATCTTGACCCCCTAGAAGACAATGTTACATCTTTACCCCTAGGAGGCAATGATACATTTTTACCCCTAGGAGGCAATGTTACATCTTTACCAGTAGGAGGCAATGTTTCATCTTTACCCCTAGGAGACTATGTTACATCTTTATCACTAGGAGGCACTGTTATAGTTTACCTCTAGGAGGCAATTTTACATCTTTACTACTAGGAGGCAATTTTACTTCTTTACCCCAAGGAGGAAATGTTACATCTTTACCACCAGGAGGCAATGTTACATCTTTACCCCTAGGAGGCAATGTTACATATTTACCACTAGGAGGCAATGTTAAATATTTACCCCTAGGGGGCAATTTTCAATTTATGCCATTAGGAAGCAATGTTACACTTTACCCCTAGAAGGCAATGTTACATTTTAACCCTAGGTGGCCATGTTACATTGTACCAATGGGAGGCCATGTTACATCTTTTCCCCTTAGGACTAAGTGCACATATATTTTTAAAAAAATTGTAACTCATAAGTGAAGAGATATTATACTTTAGCCGTACAATACTATTTTTCAAAGATCTCGACCAGTGATCGGCAAACTCATTTGTCAAAAGAGCCAAAAAATCTGCAGCAGGACGATTAACAAAAAATTTGAGAGCCAAATTTCTAAATTTCCAAAATCCTTTCAAGAACTATGTTTTTCGGAGTCAAAACCAATAGTGGCTGACTGGCCGAGCCGCACTCACGTCGCTAAAGAGCCGCATGCGGCCCCCGAGCTGCGATTAGCTGACCACTGCCCTGGCTCATTCTCATATATTTTTAATTACATGAAACATTCTCATGGACATGACCTGTGCTGATCTTCTCTTCTGCGTCCCGAATAGCATGTGGCACGCGGCTGACGTCATCCAACAAAAAATGATAACCGATTTACCCATTAACATTAAGTGCACAAAGTATGATGTAAAATAAAATGAAAAAAATACTAGACGTTTTAAAAGCAGCCCAATCAGGATACGTTCACACCAGAATGCGTGAGAAGCCATCTAGTGGCATTTTTGAAATGTTGCATGGATGACATCATTTTATGCGCTCACTCATAATGAGGAATAAAAGAATCATTAATTCCAGTGGAAGGGTATATTATTGAACGACCAGCTCGCTAAATCCCTCCTAGTCTACCTTTTACAAGCTGTAGAATAAATACAAAGGGAAGCAAGAGACGGATGTCCACAGACCAAATAGACACATCCTTAGGTACGAAAAATAAAGTGTTGTCATTTAGGTCTCGCGATGAAAAATTTACTTCAATCGAACAACCCTTTAAAAAAACCCTTAAAAAAAAAGTTTCTTGTCTATATCCTTTGATACGCATTCTGGCTTCATTTATGTAATTGTACGTCATTTATTATTGATGTCATTGCAGCACGACTGATTTCTCGGAGTGGGAATTTTTTTGTAATCAAACTTAGTACGTGTAAAGCGTGATAGACTAATGCCGTAGCTGAACCCAGATGCGTGACAAGTACAAACTTAGTACGTGTAAAGCGTGATAGACTAATGCCGTAGCTGAACCCAGATGCGTGACAAGTACAAACTTAATACGTGTAAAGCGTGATAGACTAATGCCATAGCTGAACCCAGATGCGTGACAAGTACAAACTTAGTACGTGTAAAGCGTGATAGACTAATGCCATAGCTGAACCCAGATGCGTGACAAGTACAAACTTAGTACGTGTAAAGCGTGATAGACTAATGCCGTAGCTGAACCCAGATGCGTGACAAGTACAAACTTAGTACGTGTAAAGCGTGATAGACTAATGCCATAGCTGAACCCAGATGCGTGACAAGTACAAACTTAGTACGTGTAAAGCGTGATAGACTAATGCCATAGCTGAACCCAGATGCGTGACAAGTACAAACTTAGTACGTGTAAAGCGTGATAGACTAATGCCTTAGCTGAACCCAGATGCGTGACAAGTACAAACTTAGTACGTGTAAAGCGTGATAGACTAATGCCATAGCTGAACCCAGATGCGTGACAAGTACAAACTTAGTACGTGTAAAGCGTGATAGACTAATGCCATAGCTGAACCCAGATGCGTGACAAGTACAAAGCCCGTGGCTTTGAGAGAGAAAGAAACACACCAACAAAAAGGGAAGTCAATTGAAATAATTTAAAAAGTGCCCTCTTTTCTTGAAATAGACATTTAAACAAACATTATTCTATTAAAACGTAATATTTGTCTTTAAATCCAGCTTGGATATTAACTTAAAGGTTCTGTCCTAAAATCAATGTTTAAAAGATTTTTTGTGTGTAAAATTCTGGCTTTTATAGAAAAAAAAATGAAGTTTAAATTTATAACTTGGCGATTTTTTTGTTTGACAGGTCCCTAAACTTACATATAAGCTGATAACGCTTAAGACTTTAGAAGTTTTTTTCCCCGAATACAAAACCGAGCAGAGATTCTCTGATCAATGAAAACATATGCTTTTAATAAACGGAAATCATCGTTGTATCATTTTATTACAGTTCATTGCCTTGTATACGGGGGTCTGCAAATTTATACAAGTATCTCATAGTTCAGTAGCATGCATGAAGCGTGCTTTGACATATCTGGAGGTTTAACGACCTAGACTACTAGAGACTCTGTTGTTGAGTTGTATTGCCACCTTAATAGAATATGCGCATTGGGAAGCGAGAATCACAAGTTCAAGGTGTAGCCTCAAACAGCACTAAGTCAAAATATGGGGTGGTGTATTTTTATAAGGAGATCTGCGTCTCAAAGGCATCATTTGTTACACACTGAACGACATCCGTCCAATTATATAGCATTTTTAAAACTTAAATTATCCTAATTTATTTTTACATTTATTATAAGCTTCTTAAATACAAGACAAACTAAGTTTATGTCTCAATTGCATTAATGAAATCCGATAATCTCACAGTAGTGTTACAGTTGCAGTGTTATCCCACGCAGAGGTGTAGCGTGGTGGGGTCAGGGGGGGACAGATGTCCCCGGGCGCCAGCTAGTTAGGGGCGCCAAAATGTGCTTTGATATTATTTTATTGATGAAAATAATGGGTTTGAGAGTTGAAAAAAAGAAAAAGGGGGGCTAAAAATGGATCTTGTCCCCGGGCGCGAATTTTGTCCCCGGGCGCCAAAAGCCCTCGCTACGCCACTGATCCCTCGGTAGTGTTACAGTTTCAAAACCTGGGCTCTGATCTGGATCAAAGTCACGAGATAAAACTGCGAGATTAGATGTTTACGGCGAGCTGCTGGCAAAACGACAAGCGACCGTATTCGCCAACCTGGCAATCCGCCAACCGGCTGGTGCCATCCCAGTCGGCCAGTAGAACGTGTCTCAAGTCTTAACAACAAATTAATCGGTTTGGACACCTGGTCAGAATGCCTGCCACTCAACCTGTATTGCTAGCGTACAATGGCAGGCACTCCGGTTTCAGGAATATATATATATATATATATATATATTTTAAACCCGGGCTGTGTCCACAATTCAATGTTTACAAGAATTATCATAAATCTGGCCTTCCATATAAGGAAAAGCATTTCAGGGGCCTCAAATTTAGCCAACGTGTGCTCGCTCTTATAACGCTTTCGAAGTTGTTGTTTTTGCCTTTAAAAAACCTATGCAATGCCGGCTATGTTGGCTACTTAATGAGAGCGTTGGTGTTTTTTCAAGTCCTGTGCGAGTGCGTAGAGATTTTCAATGTTAAGCATAACTGTTGTGTGTGTGTGTGTGGCTGTGTGTGTGTGTGTGTGTATGTGTGTGGCTGTGTGTGTGTGTGTGTGGCTGTATTTGTTTGTGAATTATAAATAAGCAGAGAAAAATCCCCGTTTATTATTTTTTTTTTTTAAAGTTTCATTGACATCTCTAAAAAAATAAAATTTCATAAGAAAATTGCTAACCTGAAACTCTCAAGTCTGCCCTTGCCTCCAAAAAACCCGAGCAACGATATAGAATATGTGTCAATTCCCTTTTTATTTAAACACAAAACTATGTCTATCCTGCTTCGCGGATTTTTTGGGGGGACGGGACCGAAGAACCCACCGCCCCCCCACCCCCGCCGTCTACCACTTAAATAGGAAAAACCTTTATCCAGAGCATTGTGGCTCTAAGCTCTTGCGACTATATAAGCATGATGACGACAGTATGATCCACATCTCTTCAAAGTATAGCCTTGAAACTATATATATATATATATAGAGAGAGAGAGAGAACGTTTGAATCAGTGGGACTGGAGTGCTGGAGAACAATGGCGTAGCAAGGGTTGGTGTCACCCATGGCTGCCAGGCAAATTTTTTTTTAATTCCCAAGATTTGGTCAAAACAATTCCCAAGATTTCCCAAGATCATGAAAATATGTAAGAGTTTTTTTTTTTTTAAAGGGTCTTGGGGGATTTTTTTTAAAAATAAGAGAGTTTTTGTCCTGAATTGGGTAGTGAATTCCCAAGATCTTGGTAAATTTCCCCAAGATGTGGCAGCCCTGGTGTCACCCGGTGCGGTAAACTCATGGTGTCACCAACCTCCACCCCCCCCCCACCCCCACTTCTTGATGCGTCTCTTCATGTTATAATAATTCCACACAGTATAATTAATTCACAAGATCTTGGTAAATTTCCCCAAGATGTGGCAGCCCTGGTGTCACCCGGTGCGGTAAACTCATGGTGTCACCAACCTCCACCCCCCCCCCCACCCCCACTTCTTGATGCGTCTCTTCATGTTATAATAATTCCACACAGTATAATAAGTACTAGAACAAACACAAATTAACTGAAGGTCAGGAGGTAAATGCATTTAAGAACTGTGACAACGTTAGGTTATAGATTTAAATTAAATTTACTTTATTTAAAATTTTCCTTTCTTGGTCTTCAAAGTTGCAAACCTGTCAATAACTTTATCAAAACCAATAGCCATAACAGTATCACTTGGATTGGTTACACACATGTAACATTTCACGTGATCCGTTATACTTTTATGAAATTCTGATAGACCAACAAGTGTGTGCTCTGTAAATATACACTTTTTCAATTTGGTGTCACCCCATGGGATGGTCACCCGGTGCGGTCGGCAACCCCTCCCCCCGAGATAAGCCACTGCCTGGTACCATGCAAGTATTCAAGCCGTTTCTGTAGAGCAGATTAATGCATATCAACTACCTAAAGATAATTAGAACATTCTGACTTGGCGAATACGCTGTTCTTACTGCTTGTCTCCTCATAGTGTCATCATAGAAAAGACCTCCATTGTCTCCTCAAAGTGTCATCATAGCAAAGCTCTCCATTGTCTCCTCAAAGTGTCATCATAGCAAAGCTCTCCATTGTCTCCTCAAAGTGTCATCATAGCAAAGCTCTCCATTGTCTCCTCAAAGTGTCATCATAGCAAAGCTCTCCATTGTCTCCTCAAAGTGTCATCATAGCAAAGCTCTCCATTGTCTCCTCAAAGTGTCATCATAGCAAAGCCCTCCCTTATCTCCTCAAAGTGTCATCATAGCAAAGCCCTCCCTTATCTCCTTACTTGACATCATAGCAAAGCCCTCCCTTGTCTCCTCAAAGTGTCATCATAGCAAAGCTCTCCCTTATCTCCTCAAAGTGTCATCATAGCAAAGCTCCCCCTTTTCACCTCAACGTGTCATCATAGCAAAGCTCTCCCTTATTTCCTCAAAGTGTCAACATAGCAAAGCCCTCCCTTATCTCCTCAAAGTGACATCATAGGAAAACCCTCCCTTATCTCCTCAAAGTGACATCATAGCAAAGCTCCCCCTTATCCCCTCAAAGTGTCATAGAAAAACTCTCCCTTATCTCCTCAAAGTGACATCATAGCAAAGCCCTCCCTTATCTCCTCAAAGTGACATCATAGGAAAACCCTCCCTTATCTCCTCAAAGTGTCATCATAGCAAAGCTCTCCATTGTCTCCTCAAAGTGTCATCATAGCTAAGCCCTCCCTTATCTCCTCAAAGTGTCATCATAGCAAAGCCCTCCCTTATCTACTTACTTCACATCATAGCAAAGCCCTCCCTTGTCTCCTCAAAGTGTCATCATAGCAAAGCTCTCCCTTATCTCCTCAAAGTGTCATCATAGCCAAGCCCTCCCTTATCTCTTCGAAGTGTCATCATAGCAAAGCCCTCCCTTGTCTCCTCAAAGTGACATCATAGCAAAGCCCTCCCTTATCTCCTCTAAGTGTCATCATAGCAAAGCCCACATTATTCCATTCCACATTTTTTTTTTATATTTGGACCCGTGGAAAGAGGATTGGGAGGAAACCAATCCAACCGTACAAACGTTAGCCCTGGGGAAACCTATTATCAGATGTGACCTTTGCCTCTGTTCCTTAATGTGAACAAGAATAAAAAAAAACTGCCACTGCTTAGCTTTGACATATTTTGCTTAATTTCTCGAGGCCTATCATGTGGCGACATGTTTACAGTAACGATACATGGGGGAAATATACGCCACGCCTGGGTAGGTGCTTACAGTAACGCTCCAATAGCAAAGGTAGGCAGTTGAACTTCACCCCAACATGAAGATGAACACAGGAGTGTCCGAATACATTTTTTAAAATTGCCTTGTCATGTCTGACCGACTTCGTAATCGATGCACTCATTTTTTTCGAGATGTCCTCAGGGGACATTATGCATCAATGAACCAGAACCAGGTCACAGTTGACAAGAGAGAATAAAATTATCAATGTCGTCTCGTCTGCTCCACTCGACATAGTCTAGACGTCCTCAAAAATGTGACTTACAGGGATCGTCGGTCGGGTTAGTGCCCCACATCACAAGGATCGTAGATCGGGTTGTGCGCCACTTCACCAGGAGCGTTGCTCGGGTTAGTGTGCCACTTCATCAGGAGCGTAGCTTGGGTTAGTGCGTCACTTCACCAGGAGCGTAGCTCGGGTTAGTGTGCCACTTCATCAGGAGCGTAGCTTGGGTTAGTGCGCCACTTCATCAGGAGCGTAGCTTGGGTTAGTGTGCCACTTCATCAGGAGCGTAGCTCGGGTTAGTGCGCCACTTCATCAGGAGCGTAGCTTGGGTTAGTGCGCCACTTCATCAGGAGCGTAGCTCGGGTTAGTGCGCCACTTCATCAGGAGCGTAGCTCGGGTTAGTGCACCACTTCATCAGGAGCGTAGCTCGGGTTAGTGCGCCACTTCATCAGGAGCGTAGCTCGGGTTAGTGCACCACTTCATCAGGAGCGTAGCTCGGGTTAGTGCACCACTTCATCAGGAGCGTAGCTCGGGTTAGTGCGCCACTTCATCAGGAGCGTAGCTCGGGTTAGTGTGCCACTTCATCAGGAGCGTAGCTCGGGTTAGTGCGCCACTTCAGAGCGTAGCTCGGGTTAGTGCGCCACATCATCAGGAGCGTAGCTCGGGTTATTGCCATTAGAAGCATATCGCGGGTTAGTGGCACACGGCGCGGGCCAAGCTTTTTGGCCCTCCCCCCACCTTTTACACGAAAAAAAAAATCTACGAGTGGCCAATAATGACTCCCCATGATGAAAAAGTGCCGACCGTGGCGTGCCGACCGTGGCGTGCCGACCGTGGCGTGCCATCCGCTTGGCACCCCCTCCCCACGCAAGTGCATTTCACGTTCCACATAGTTTTTAAAAAGCCTTTTCCAAATGTATATTTTAATCACATGAACATCAATAATTTAAAATTATTTATAAAGTCTACTGTAAATTATACGCATCGATTTGATAAAAATAAAAAAGTGTTGCTCTTGATTTATTTCGTTTATAACGTTACCGACAATTACAGGACATAGAGAGCATTTCTATGTGATGGGACATAGCACACCTTTGTGATGGGGCATAGATAGCATATCTCATGTGATGGGGCAGGGATAGCATACCTTTGTGATGGGACATAGATAGTATACCTCATGTGGTGGGACATAGATAGCATACCCCTTGTGGTGGGACATAAGCATACCTTTGTGATGGGACATAGATAGTATACCTCATGTGGTGGGACATAGATAGCATACCTCTTGTGGTGGGATATAGATAGCAAATAGCATACCTCTTGTGGTGGGGCATAGATAGCATACCTCTTGTGGTGGGCCATAGATAGCATACCTCTTGGTGTGGGATTAGATAGCATACCTCTTGTGGTGGGGCATAGATAGCATACCTCTTGTGGTGGACCATAGATAGCATACCTCTTGGTGTGGGATTAGATAGCATACCTCTTGTGGTGGGGCATAGATAGCATACCTCTTGTGGTGGGACATAGATGGCATACCTCTTGTGGTGGGACATAGATAGCGTACCTCTTGTGATGGGACATAGATAGCGTACCTCTTGGTGTGGGATATAGATAGCATATATCTTGTGGTGGGACATAGATAGCATACCTCATGTGGTGGGACATAGATAGCATACCTCTTGTGGTGGGACATAGATAGCATACCTCTTTTGGTGGGACATAGATAGCATACCTCTTGTGGTGGGACATGGATAGCATACCTCATATGATGGGACATAGATATCATACCTCTTGTGGTGGAACATAGATAGCATACCTCTTGTGGTGGAACATAGATGGCATACCTCTTGTGGTGGGGCATGGATAATTTCTTTTTTCTTTAATTTTGAAGAATACACATGTCATCTGGGATTTCCAAAAGCTAAATGGCTGCCTTATGAGACTGATGAGACCATTGCTACCCTTGCCAACAGCTTCGGATGCATTGGAACCTGCTACCTCTTTAGTGCGAGGAACACTTTTCTGTCATTTAAGGGGAATAGCTGCAAGAAATATTGTGTACTATTGTGTGAAGCCGAGTGATCCTCCTTGAAAACTCATACAAATCGATTACAAAGGGTAACTGTGCTCGTCCGATGATCTCCCTTGGTAAATTGGTAGCAATATTTTGGCAAAGAAATCCATTACATTCATTTTTTTGATCCCTTCAAATAAACTAATACTTGTTTAATTTCTTATCGGATTTCAATTTCGGAGTTGCATTCTTATGAACTAGAAAGTATCACCCGAGGTTATCGCGATAATAATTTAGCATTAATCTCCACCTGCTATTTGCAGATAGATAGATAGATAGATAGACAGACAGACAGACAGACAGACAGACAGACAGACAGACAGACAGATTACACAGATTAGACAGATTAGACAGATTAGACAGATAGATAGATAGATAGATAGATAGATAGATAGATAGATAGATAGATAGATAGATAGATAGATAGATAGATAGATAGATAGATAGATAGATAGATAGATAGATAGATAGATAGATAGATGGACAGGCACGCATCCACACGGGACAGACGCCGGGTCTCCCTGCCGCCAGACAGTGCGACGGGACGCCGGGAGCCTACCCTTAGCCTGGGGGACGTCCAGTTGACCGAAAACGCTGCGTTTAAAACGTTCGCGGTCCACTCTCCAGTCAGTCTGGGCGGATTTGCTTCCACTCCGGAGGGAAGGTGTTGCGTTACCACCCCCCCCCCGCCGCCCAAGGAGTCTTTCGGTGGGGACGAAATCTGGGACGAAATGCTCGCCTAGGAGCGGCTTTCTCATTGCCGCCTATCTAAAATCATCGTCATGGGTTTTAACCGCCACCCAAACCTCATATCCATTAACGGCAACAGGTAATCATGTCATGACGTTATTACTCTCGTTGCGTGGGGAGTCATGTGGTCGGCCGGGGTTTTTTAGCTTCGGGGGAGTAGTACCTCCCTACCAGTCCGCCACGTCACGAAGAGGCAAGGCCCACACTTGGACGTCCCCAAGTTTCCTCGGAGACGCTCCGCTTTCGCAGACGGAACACAAGAGAATACTAGTACACTTTTAAAATTGCCTTGTCATATCTGACCGACTTCATTACCGTAGCATAAAAATTGTTGGTAACGTCATTGCGCGACGTTACGCATCGATAAGAAAGAACCAGGTCAGCACCGTCGAGAAGGTTTCTATACAATTGATTCGATTGCGATAAAGCTTGGCTTGTTTTGTGCTAGCCCGCAAAGGTGTCTGAATTAGGTTATCCATTTTGAAATATTCCTTTGGGGACCTGGGGCCCTAAATAATTTTCTTCTTATATGAGTGCTACAAATATAATTTCAAACAAAAGTTATTGCATGGGTGGATGGAATTGAATCAAATACAAGCGACATTTCAGTTTGTATGTGATATAATAAGTAGGTTTCTGAATTAGTACAACCTGTTTACAATTTTGCTTTAGGGGCCAAGGGCATTTTTTTTTTTAAATGAGCTATATATATATATATATATAATTTCAAACAGAGCTGCTGCATGGGTGGATCAATCGCTACACGTGTGTGGACAAAAATTTTGAAAACCCATACGTCTTACGTGGACAGCTCTATGTAGCCTGCTCGAAAAAACTACTAATTTATTTGTGTACGCACCAAACGGGAAAAAAAATATTCTATTTAAAAATTACTTTAAAAAACATAATTAAAACACAAACACCTTTTTTTTTTTCTCTGAGTGGCTTTGCGGCGCATGCCGGGTTCTCGCTAGTATAGAATATATATATTCTGAGGAATAATGATTTTTGTCAAAAAGCGAGAAGGTCACGATAGGTTTAGAATATCTTTCAGATTAGTCATGAAAAGTTTGTACCAATAGTTACGATAATTTTTGACTTAACATTACACAATGTTTAACATTAAAACGTATAAAACAAAAAAAAAAAAAAAAAAATTATCTTTTTTTTATAAAGATTTTATATTTTTTTTTTTTTTTTTATATTTTTTATGTATACTTTTTTTTTTTTTTACAAATTCTTTGTGAAGATCTTATATGTTGTGCATTTAGTCATGGGCACGTTACCATTCTGTCATCAGCTATGTCATGTCAGTTAACTTGAACTTATGTGTCTCCTTCGTTTTATTTTTGGTTCCTATGGTGTCTTTATGTATCTGTGGCGTTCATAGAGGACGGCGTTTGGTCGACACGCCAATGGTATTGTCTCTTTTTGTTATTCAAACTGCAACGTCATCAGCGAGCTTTCAATATCGCTCCCAGACGGCAAGGTGAATGTTGGGGACTGTGTTTGTTGGTAACTAATGCATTTTTATGGGTCGTTGGGGGGGGGGATGTCATGTAGATAAAAATATAATCACACATTCTGTGCTTTGGATACCATTCAAATATTGCATAGCTTTTTTTTTAAACTGTCCTGAGGAAAATCAAACAGAAACAATCTGTTATAAAATATTTTAACTAGTTGTTGAGCATGTTTGTAAATAAATCTGGATAATGTAATCTGTATTTCAATGTCTTGAATCAAACTATCACAAGCAGACATCTGCATTTCAATGCATTGAATCAAACAATCACAAGATGACATCTGTATTTCAATGTATTGAATCAAACTATCACAAGCAGATCAATGCAAGTAGTCTTTTCTATGTAAAAATTTATTATCATTTTCTATGTTTTATTTGTTCTCTTCTGTTCACAGATTCCTGAAAAATCGCTATTTAAAATGTCAGCATATTTATTCAACTAATTGAGTTTAGTAAAATGTCAATTTATTAAGGGCCTATGTAAAACTCTATCAAACACTGACCAATTTAAAAGCTTCTTTATTAGTGTTGCGTTAAACAAGAACTTAAAAAACAAAACAAACAAAAATTAAATTTAAGTTTATTACATCCCAATGTTACATTAAGAAATGGCGTCAGCGGGGCGAGTCTAGACTCTTATGCCCACCCCTTTAAAAGCTTCTTTATTAGTGTTGCGTTAAACAAAAAATTAAAAAACAAAACAAACAAAAATTAAATTTAAGTTTATTACCTCCCAATGTTACATTAAAAAATGGCGGCAGCGGGGCGAGTCTAGACTCTTATGCCCCCCCCCAATTACCCCCCCCCCCCGACTGACGAATCGGGCCGCGGAGCGGCAAGTTGGAGATGCCCACTCGTCAGGACGGCCCCCACACGGGCCCCTCACCCAAGTCCCTCACCTGGGCGCCTGGGCGCTCGACCAGGGCCCCGCCTGGGGGCCGCCCCAACGAGGAGGCACCCGGTCGATCCGACACTTTGCGTTTAAACAGTGCACTCGATCGACTTTCTCAGGAGTTGGGATGGAAAAAATGTACGTCCTAATATCTCCCCCCACCCATCCCGGGAAAGCATCGGACGCCCTATAAGAGGGATTCCACAGTGGGTTTCCACAACGCGACTAGTTCACGCTGTAGCTGGGACGAAACGGTTGCCTAGGGGCAGCGTTCTCACGGCTGCATTATTTATATCCTCGGCCAGAGGTTACCACCCTCGCCTCTGGCCTCATACCCGTCAACGGCAACTTGTAATCCCAATAAATATTTCTATAACATTTTTATTTGAAATGAGCTTGATTTTAACAAATGGTATTATTGGAATGAGAAAATTATCCTTTTTTTTTTTTCTTTTCCGGGTCATTCGTTTTTTTTTTAGTGAAATAAGCAAGATAACAGAAACTGTTTGAACTAATAAAAAATAAAAGAATCTAAGAACTAGTTTTCAATTTATCTATTTAGGAAGTGGCGAATTCTTCTCCATCACTACAAGAGGTCCTCTCTGTCACCACAAGAGGTCTTCTCCACCATTACAAGAGGTCTTCTTCGCAGCTACAAGCGTTATTCTCCACCACTACAATAGGTCTTTTTTATCAGAACACCAGGTCTTCTCTGTCACTACGAGATGCCTTCTCCACCACAACAAAAGATCTTCTCCATCACTACTAGATGTCTTCTCTACAACTAAGATTGGTTTTCTCCATCAGTACAAGAGGCATTCTCCATCACTATAAGAGTTCTTCTCCAACACTAAAATAGGTCTTCTTTGTCCCTACAACAGGTCTTTTCCATCACTACAAGAGGTCCTCTCCATCACTACAATATGTCTTCAACATCACTAAAAGAGGTCTTCTCCACCACTAAAAGAGGTCTTCTCCATCACTACAAGTAGTCTTCTCCATCACTACAAGAGTTCTTCTCTACCACTTCAATAGGTCTTCTTTGTCACTACAACAGGTCTTCTCTATCTCTACAAGAGGTCTTCTCTATCACTGCAAGAAGTCTTCTCTATCACAACAAGAGGTCTTCTCCATCACTATAAGAGGTCTTCTCTATCACTGCAAGAAGTCTTCTCTATCACTACAAGAGGTCTTCTCCATATTTACAATATGTCTTCTTCATCACTACAAGAGGTCTGAAACACTATGCCTTTTCTTTTCCATCACTACAATATGTCTTTTCCACCTCTACAAGAGTTCTTCTCCACCACTACAAAAGGTCTTCTCCATCACTACTTAAAAGTTTTTAAGCCAGACATGACAATGACATCATAGCTGGCATCCGTCCGTCACAATGTGACGATGGAGTGGGCTTCGGAGGATGGCCTGGGATTATACGTTAAGGATTATAAGCTGGTTCCCAACAGCAAATCGCCTCTCTCCACGCCGCTGGGTAACCCAAGGGAACATCATACATCATTGGATGATACAGCTTGGCACCAGTGACGTCGCCGGAATGTTTCATTGTATCAATGTTATCCGCCTTTCGGGACTCCATCTCCGAGTTTGATTTCAGAGTTTCCTTCTCTTAGATGAGTTGCCATCCAAGGTTAACGAGTCTCATCTACCCGGGGTGCTGGTGGTGTTTTTGCTCTAGCCGGAATTGAACTCCAGACCACCAACTTGAGATTTGCTCAGTTTAGACCAATCGGCCATCCAGCACCCTAATGACATCATAGCAACACTCTACAATAATTTTCTTATAATTAACTTTTATATAGATAATTATATAGTTTACTTTATGTAACAATTATCCCAATCATAAAATTATATCCATTAACACTAACAAGTGTGGGGAGGGGGGGGGCTGCACTGATCTCATCACAAATACCATGTATTTCCAGCCATCCATTCAACATTAACAGAAGATTTATAAGTAAAATATTTTAGCTCGAGTTTTGTCATGTTACATATCCATTTCCAAAAATATTTGCTCCTAAATTTTATAGAAAAAAAAGGTTTTCCTTTTTTAAAAAAAATGGGGGGGGGGGGAGCTGTAAATTGTTATTTGAACAAAGACAAGAACTTATTTCTCATAAAGTTTTTTTTCCGTCACAATCAAATCGACATATCTCATTACGTCCGACCACTTACCACGTGAGTCTCACTGTATCACTATATCACGGTCTCACAACAGAACGGTCTCTCTGTATAATGGTCTCACTGAATAACGGTCTCGTTGTATAACTGTCCCTTTGTATAACAGGATCACTAAAAACGATCTCTCTGTATAACGGTCGCACTGTGTCGCTGTCTCACTGAATCAGTCTCATTGTCTCACTGTATCACTGTTTCAGTCTGTCGTAAAATCATTAAATCACGGGCATTATATCACGGGCTCACTGTATTACAGTCTCTTTGTATCGCGGTATCACTCTATAGCCGTCTCATTGTATCGCGGTATCAATGAATCGTGTTCTCTTTGTATCACGGTCTCACAATATCGCGGTCTCACTGTATCATGGTCTCACTGTATCACGGTCTCATTGTATCACGGTCTAAGTGAAGCCAGGTAACACTGTTTCGCGTTTGCACTCTATCGCGGTCTCATTGTATGTCGGTATCTTTGTATGGTGGTCTCACTGTATCGCGTTCTCACCTTAGCACGGTCTCACAATTTCGTGGTCTCACTGTATCGCGTTCTCACCTTAGCACGGTCTCACAATTTCGTGGTCTCACTGTATCACGTTCTCACCTTAGCACGGTCTCACAATTTCGTGGTCTCACTGTATCGCGTTCTCACCTTAGCACGGTCTCACAATTTCGTGGTCTCACTGTATCGCGTTCTCACCTTAGCACGGTCTCACAATTTCGTGGTCTCACTGTATCGCGTTCTCACCTTAGCACGGTCTCACAATTTCGTGGTCTCACTGTATCGCGTTCTAACTATATTGCGTTCGCACTGTATAACAGTCTCTTTGTATCAAGGTTTCACTGTGGCATGGTCTCACAGTATATCAGTCTCACTCTATTACGGTCTCACAATATCGCGATCTCAATCTATCGCGGTCTCATTTAATCCCAGTATGTTTTTATCAAGGTCTCCCTGCATCACGGTCTCAATGTATCACGGTCTCACTGTATCACGGTCTCACTAAAGAACAGTCTCTTTGTATAATGGTCTCACTGAATCACGTTCTCACTGTATCATGTTCTTTTTGTTTCACGGTCTCACAGTATCACGGTCTCATTGTATCACGGTCTCACAGTATCACGGTCTCATTGTATCACGGTCTCACTGTATCACGGTCTCATTGTATCACGGTCTCACTGTATCACGGTCGCACTGTATCACGGTCTCACTGTATCACGGTCTCAATGTATCACGGTCTAACTGTGTAACTCTATCACTGTATCAAGGTCTCTCTGTACCACTGTCTGCCTGTATCACTGTCTCACTGTATTAAAGTCTCACTGTATCGCTGTTTCACTCTATCGTATTCTATTTATATCACGGGCTCACTGTATCACGTTCTCACTGTATCACTGTAATACTGTATCAATGACTCATTGTCTCAATGTATCCCTGTTTCACTCTATCGTATTCTCATTATATCACGGTCTCATTATATCATGGTCTCACTGTATCACGGTCTCACTGAATCACGTTCTCACTGTATCATGTCTCAGTGTATCATGGTCTCACAGTATCACGGTCTCACTGTATCATGGTCTCACAGTATCACGTTTTCACTGTATCATGGTCCCATTGTATCATGGTCTCACTGTATCATGATCCCACTGTATCACGTTCTCACTGTATTACGGTCTCACTGTATCACGGTCTCCTTGTATCACGGTCTCACTGTACACGGAATCCCTGTATCACGGTCTCACTGTATCACGTTTTCACAGTATCACGGTCTCACTGTATCATGGTCTCACTGTGTCACGGTCTCACTGTATCGCGGTCTCACTGTATCACGGTCTCACTGTATCATGGTCTCACTGTATCACGGTCTCACTGTATCACGGTCTCAATGTATCATGGTCTCACTGCATCACTGTCTCTTTGTATCACGATCTCACTGTATCAAGGTCTCCCTGTATCACCTTCTCTCTATATCATGGTCTCACTGTATCACTTTCTTAATGTATCACTGTCTCACTGTATCAAGTTCTCACTGTATCACGGTCTCACTGTATTACGTTCTCACTGTATCACGGTCTCACAGTATCCCGGTCTCACTGTATCACGGTCTCACTGTATCACGGTCTCACAGTACCACGGTCTCACAGTATCACGATCTCACTGTATCACGGTCTCACTGCATCACAGTCCCACTGTATCATGGTCTCACTGTATCATTGTCTCACTGTATCACCGTCTCACTGTATCACGCTTTCACTGTATCACGGTCCCAATGTATCACGTTCTCACTGTATTACGGTCTCACTGAATCACGGTCTCCCTGTATCACGGTCTCACAGTGTCATGGTCTCCCTGTATCACGGTCTCACTGTAACATTGTCTCACTGTATCACGTTTTCACTGTATCACGGTCCCATTGTATCACGGTCTCACTGTATAATGGTCCCACTGTATCACGTTCTCACTGTATTACGGTCTCACTGTATCACGGTCTCCCTGTATCACGGTCTCACTGTACACGGGATCCCTGTATCACGGTCTCACTGTATCACGGTCTCACAGTATCACGTTCTCACTGTATCATGGTCTCACTGTATCACGGTCTCACTGTATCACGGTGTCACTGTATCACGGTCTCACTGTATCATTGTATCACTGTATCATGGTCTCACTGTATCACGGTCTCAATTTATCATGGTCTCAATGCATCACTGTCTCATTGTATCACGATCTCACTGTATCACGGTCTCCCTGTATCACGTTCTCTCTGTATCACTGTCTTACTGTATCATGTTCTCATTGTATCACGGTCTCACTGTATAACGGTCTCACTTTATCAGAGTCTCACTTTAACATAGTCTCAATGTATCACCTTCTCACTGTATCACGGTCTCCCTGCATCACGGTATCACTGTATCACGGTCTCTCCTTTTCATGGTCTCTCTGTATCACGTTCTCACTGTATCACGGTCTCACTAAATCATGGTCTCACAGTATCACGGTCTCACTGTATCATGGTATCACTGTATCACGGTCTCACTGTATCATTGTAATATTGTATCAATGACTCATTGTCTCAATGCATCGCTGTTTCAATCTATCGTATTCTCATTATATCACGGTCTAACTGTATCACGGTCTCACTGTATCACGGTCTCACTGTATCACGTTCTCACTGTATCATGGTCTCAGTGTATCATGGTCTCACAGTATCACGGTCTCACTGCATCAAGTTCTCACTTTAACATAGTCTCACTGTATCACGGTCTCACTGTATCACGTTCTCACTGTATCATGGTCTCACTGTATCATTGTCTCACAGTATCACGGTCTCACTGTATAACGGTCTCACTGTATCACGTTCTCACTGTATTACAGTCTCACTGTATCATGGTCTCTCTTTTTCATGGTCTCACTGTATCATGGTCTCTCTGTTTCACGGTCTCACTGTATCACAGTCTCACTGTATCACGGTCTCACTGTATCACGGTCTCACTGTATCACTGTCTCTCTTTTTCATGGTCCCACTGTATTACGGTCTCTCTGTATCACGGTCTCACAGTATCGTGGTATTTTTTTCACGGTCTCGCTGTATTACGGTATCACTGTATGACGGTCTCACTGTATCACGGTCTCTTTTTTAATGGTCTCACTGTATTACGGTATCACTGTATGACGGTCTCACTGTATCACGGTCTCTTTTTTAATGGTCTCACTGTATTACGGTCTCTTTTTTAATGGTCTCACTGTATTACGGTCTCACTATATAACGGTTTCAGTGTATCGATGTCTCAATTATATATATTACACACAAGGTCACGGATTTTAGCATATCGGAGTGGGGTTCAGGAACCTAACCCACCGAGAGAGACAAGGAACTACTGCAAATGTAAATTAGACTATGATAAAAAAAAAATGTAACATAGAATATGATTATTTTTTTACTTTTTTTTTAAATTAAAAACTAAATATATTTTTTGCAGTTTTTGCGTTGTTGCTTTATCAAATAATTCAAATCCGTGCAGTTCAGGACGACACGACCTGCCGCCACAACCTTGCTTCGACTCCACATTTGCTTCCTTGAACGAGATTGGTGACTACACACACCGACACCAATGCTGTACGCTCAAGGTCCACAGTTTCCGTGGCACCGTTAATAACAACTCTTATAAAGTGCAATAATAGTTATTTAAAGAGTCATATCTGTATTATCCACCCTCTGAAAGCTAACAAGAGTTCAATTTCACCCCTAAAAGTTTGCACACTACCTGATATCAGGACGGTGCCTATAAGGATATAAGGATGATACATTTTGACTAGCCTGACAGAAGGTCATAAACGTAATTAGTCACGTCATTCCTCGTGCTTTTTTTAACTTTGAGACATGTTCTCCCATTATAATGTGCACGTTGCCAATCATAATGCAACCCACTTAATCACTTGCCCTTGTAACGTAATTAAATCTCCAAAGCTTTTTTTTATTTGTGTACCTAGTTTCATCAAGCTCCCTGAGTTTAACCCAGTTAACGTCCAATACTTACTTTGTTTAACCCAGCTAAAGTCCTCTATTTATTTAGTTTAACCCAGCTAAAGATCTCTACTTACTGAGTTTAACCAAGTAAGCTACTCTACTTAGTTTTAAAGAGGGCTACTTATCTTCGTATTTAGTTTAACTCAGCCAACGTCCAACTCTTATTTAGTGTAACCCAACTAACGTCCTCTAGTTACTTAGTCTAAACCATTTAACTTGCTATTTTTTTCTTTGTTTAACTTAGTTAACTTGCTCTACGTCCTAGATTGAGCACAGTGGTTCTCAAACTTTTCTCCGGCCAGCGACCCTTTGGGGCCATAAACTCTCCTTGAGCTCCCCCTATCTTGACCCATTATAGGCATTCTCAGAATACAAGTTTCCACGAACACCTTGTGGTAGATTATGACACAAGTATCTATTCAAGTGAACATGCACTTGCAAATGAAATCATAAAACTTATACTTCTATTAAGTTACATAAAAAGCTGATCAGTTTTGATCAACCCATTCTTGAGTTTTGAATATTATAATTATTTAGCGATCAAGGGTCACCTATAATTAATGAGATGTAGACACGCAATTAGTCAAGGAAATTTCAGGGTTTTTTCAATTTCTAAATTTAAGTCTGTTTTCTAAAAACAAATACAAAAAAAAGGACATTGTCTATATTCATATTTCTATGCCATTTCTTTGTTTTGAGTAAAGCTGGACGACCAGCACTAAAACAACCTGCTTCATGCTGTAATAACCAAAAACCCAAATAAAAAATCTAATGTTGCCCCTATGTAGCAAATCATAATGGCCACAAAGTGTAATGGTCACATTTGTGACAAAGTGTAATGGTCACAATGGCCACTAAATATAATGGTCACGATGGCCACAAAGTGTAATGGTCACAATGGCCACAAAGTGTAATGGTCACATTTGCGACAAAGTGTAATGGTCACAATAGCCACTAAGTATAATGGTCATGATGGCCACAAAGTGTAATAATCACAATGGCCGCAACGTATAATGGTCAAAATGGCCATAGAGTAAAATAGTCACAATGGTCACGAAGTATAATGACCACAATGGCCACATACTAATAATGGTTAGAATGGCCAAAAAGTATAAAGGTCACAATTGCCACTAAGTGTAATGGTCACGGTGGGCAA